ACGTTTCAACCTGAACTCCAGGGAGGAGATACAGATCCACAGCCCTACCTATGTAGATATAGGTACACATACAAATATATGATATATGTATATGTATATATTTATCTCATATATATACACATGTGTATATGTGACAAGTTATAAATAGAACATAATGTTATATATATATATATCTCGTGACAGGTTAAAAATATATAAGGACAGACATACAGATAGATGGGTAAACAGACATGTGTGTTTGTGTGTGTGTGTGTGTGTGTGTTTGTTTTATTTTGGCAGCTAGCCTGTACAGGGATCGAATCCTGGACCATGGTGTTATCAGCACCATGTTCTAGCAAACTGAGCTAACCGGCCAGACAGAAAAGGGAAGGGAGGGTGGACGTAGCAGACTCAGAAGTGACCTGGACCGCTAGTGAGCTTCACAGATGAATTTAGACAGAAATCCCCTCAAATCTACCTGCACTTGAGGGCCTGATTCCTGGAGTACCTCCCTCTGGAAGGCCTCTGGGGTAGGCAGAATGATGGCCTCTCCCAATATGTCCACAGCCTAATCCCTGGTACGTGTGAATATGTTACCTTACATGACCTTACATGACACAAGGGAGTTTGCAGATGGGATGAAGGTTATGGACCATGGGATGAGGAGATTATCCTGAATTATCAGGTTGGGGCCAATCTTTAACAGCAGAGAAACTTTCCAGCTGAGGTTAGAGAAACAGGACAAAAGAAGAGGCAGGAGAGACTCAGAGAGTGAGTGGGACTTGATCTGTAGCTTCTGGCTTTGAATGTCTAAGGGGCCGGGAGCCAGGCCATGCGATGGGCTCTAGCAGCTGAGAGCAGCCCCCTGCCCATAGCCAGAGAGGAAGTGGAAACTCAGTCCTACACCCATGAATTCAGTCAGTAACCTGAATGAACCTGGAAGAGGACTCCCCCCAGAGCCTTCTGGTGAGAGCCCAGGCTGGTGACAGCTTGATTTCAGCTTTGTGGGACCTGGAGCCAAGAAAGCAGCCGAGTTTACTGGACTTCCGACCTACAGATCTGTGTGATAATGTGCTTATGCTGTTTAGGATGCTGAGCTTATGGGCTTTAGTTACAGAAGCAGCAGGAAGCTAAAACTTTGAAATGCCTTTGACATGCAGGATGTCCAGCAGCTGTGCTGTGGCTGCCACCAGCTCTGATGGGCCACACGGCTGCCTAGCTCCCGAGTGTGAAGGAGATGCTTGGGTGCCACCAGCAAAGGGAAAACGCCTGGCTGTGGGTGGAAAGGGTCACCACCTGCATGTGGCAATACTATTTGGAAAGGCAAATAGTTGAGATTTTTATGAGGTTTCTGAAACCGGGCCACAGGTAAAACTCTCTAGCTCTCCCAGAGAATGATTTTTAGAGGGAAAATAAAGTTCGCTTTGGATCAAATAAATAAAAGCATCTCACCTCTTCCCTCCCCTGCTGCACTTCTTCCCGTGGCTGGTTCCTCTGGCAGCAGCACGCTGCTCTTTCTGTCAGGACATCTGTCTGCCCCCGACTGAGGAATACTGCACTCTTGATTCCACAGACCATAAGTGCAACCAGACCATGACAATGCGCAGACACGTATGTTCTGACAGAAGGTTCTGGCAAAGCCCACCCATCACAAATATTGTCACAAAAAGCCTCTTTGAGACCTCCCCTGCCATGCATGGAAGCCATGCTTTGGAGTTGAGTCTCTCACATATATTCTGAATAATTGACAGGCATCCTGCACAGGCACACGGTCTCAATGAAGGCATAGCTGCTGGAGGGCGGGGAGGTGCCAAGGTTGTCACATACTGGAGGCCTCAGAGGACATTCCAGCTGGCATCCTGGACCAGATCTGAGGTGCATTTATAAACTTAACATGAACAGCATGTTTTCATGATGCAACCAATTCTCTGAAAGACTTAGACAAGCCTCTTCTTTAGGAAAGAAGACAAGGTTTGGCAATGAGATATGCCAAAGCAAGATTCCCTAAAAACAGGAGGGCACAGAGGCAAGGTTAATGGCAAGCTGGCCACCCCTGGTAGGGCTGGGAGAGGGACGAAGGGAAGAAAGGTTGCATCTGTTCTTACTGGGACAGATGTTGAAGATTTCATTCCCCAGGCCACCTTTCCTTCCAGCCAACTTCTAGCTAACTCTAGCTTCCCATAGCATTCATAGGAGGCAGGAAGTACCTGTCAAATTTATTCTCCAAGTCCCCTTTCGACATCTTCCATATGTCCCCAGGCCCCTTCCACAACTCACATTTGCATTACAAAGATATTAGAGGGATACAGAATCTGGACGTGTAACCAACATCCTATATTTCCCATAAACAGAGGTGCCAGAAAGGAGATACTGTCTGTTATGTAAACACATATATATGAGGAGTCCTCAAAAAGTTCACAGAAAATGGGTATTATGAAAAAACCATGCATGGATTTCACCTTTTTTTTTCCCCACCAAAATAAACTTGTACTAACTTGTTATGACATGTCTGAACATGATCTAGTTTGAGGCACTAAGGATAAGCCATCAGTTTAAAAAAAAGGTCCTGCAAGAGCAGCATGAATTCTGCTATAACTGCAGCAAAAGCAAATATCAAATTGATGGTGAAGCCTGGGTGAAAGCATGGTGAGATTATTGATGCTTTATAAAAAGTTTATGGGGACAATGCCTCAAAGAAATTAGCAATTTACAAATGGATAGCTCATCTTAAGGGACAAGACAATGTTGAAGATGAAGCCTGCAGTGGCAGACCATCCACATCAATTTCTGAGGGAAAAATTAATCTTATTCCTGCCCTAATTGAAGAGGACCAATGATTAACAGCAGAAACAATAGCCACACCACAGACATCTCAGTTGGCTTGGCTGACACCATTCTGACTACAATATTACAGTTGAGCAAAACTTCTGCTCGATGGGTGTCAAAACTGTTGCGCCCAACTCAGCTGCAGACAGGAACAGAACTTTCAATAGAAATTTTAAACAAGTGGGATCAAGATCCTGAAGCATTTCTTCAAAGATTTGTAGAAGGAGATGAAACATGGCTTTACCGGTACAATCCTGAAGACAAAGTACAATCAAAGCCATGGTTACCAAGAGGTGAAAGTAGTCTGGTCAAGATGAAAGTGGTCTGGTCAAGAGCAAAGACCATAGCAGTGGGTTTTGGGGATGCTCAAGCCATTTTGATTGTTGACTTTCTGGAGGGTCAAAGAATGATAACATCTGCTTATTATGAGAGTGTTTGGAGAAAGTTAGCCACAGTTTTAGCAGAAAAGCACTCAGGAAAGCTTCACCAGAGAGTTTTTCTCCACCATGACAATGCTTCTGCTCATTCCTCTCATCAAAGAAGGGCAATTTTGTGAAAGATGGGAAATCATTAGGCACCCACCTTACAGCCCTGATGTGGCTCCTCCTGACTTCTTTGTTTCTTAGGGAATCTTTATAGGGCACCCATTTTTCTTTAGTTCATAACATAAAACAGACCACTGATGTGGTTAAATGCCCAGGACCCTCAGTGCTTCAGTGATGGGATAAATGGATGGTATCATTGCTTATAAAAGTGTCTTGAACTTGATGGAGCATATGTTGAGAAATAAAGTTTACATTTTTTATTTTTATCTTTTAATTCCATTTTTCATGAACCTTTTGAATCCCCTTGTACAGGACCACATCTCAATACCACCACCTCCACCACCACCACCACACATGCCAGTTCTCAGGGACACGGGCTGGTTTACTTTAAGAAGTGCATGATATGTACATCAGATTAAAGCTCTTCATTCTTTAAGAATTCCCTACCATAAGATGAAAATTATCCCTGAGAGTAATGAGGAGTCCAAGTGCAGTCTAACTGGTTATTTGAAGGAAGACAGCTGGGTCCCAGAGGAGCCAGGTCAGTGGGTCCCACTAGCTGAGTCTACACCAATCCACTGTGAAACTGGGGGGCTCAGGGGAGGGAGTGGGAACCCATTCAAACAATTAATGGGTGAACATTCGTCTTTCAAGTTTCAAAATACTATGGTACATGCCCATACATACTGTTTGGGGGGATGAGAAATCATCCTCATTAATCAAATGACTTGAGAGTGACCATCTTCAGTCTGTTCAGAGTTACAAAAAGTTGTTCTGTTCCTGGAGATAATACAGGTTATGGGTACTTCCCAGAGAAATGCCCAACTGCAACCCCAGACAGAATCTATACAGAGGGGTCTGCAGTTCTCACCTGGTGACTGCACTCCTAGAAGGGAACCCACATCTGGGCATCCATGAATATTATGTATAGACCACCTGTCAATCAAGTGAGCTTGCAGCCCTACTTCTCCCCAAACCAATCTGATTTAACACCAATCAATACTGGTTTCTGGGGGTGGGCAAGAATTTATACTTGATTTTCTAGCTAAAGAGCACTTCATTTTAAACAAGGCTAAATGAGTCACTTAGACATTCAACTATACAGATGCTGTTACTCATGCAACTGAATATTAGGGAGTTTTTTGGATGCCTTACAGAAGGACAAATTATGAGATTTATGAGAAGAAAAGCCAAGGCAAAAGATGAGGAGGTAAGAGTATAGGTCAGTCAAATACTTAACACATTAGCACTGTAAAAACAGAACAACCAGAAAGGATATCTTGCAGGACTGTCCTTAAGGGCATTTAGGAATCCTGTTTGCTGTGAACCTGTGGGAATGAAACCAAAATTTAGTATTCAGACATTCACCTCCGGAATAAACAGCCTTCATGCTGAAAGCTGTCTCATCTACATAAAAATAGGTGTCTAAAGATCAATTAAATAATTATACTTTATAAGTGCTAAGGAACTTAGTTTACTAATCAGAGATTGAGATTCCATCAAAGTTTTTCAACAAGAAAATGGTAGATTCATAATTAGACCCAACATCTGCAGGGCGCAGGAGAGAAAGTGAAGTCACTGAGGTTGGAATAAGGGCAAGTGTGTCGGAGAGAAAGTCTTGCTGGTGCAGGCGAAGCCTGGCACAGGTGGGACCCTGGCAAGTGCCAGTGGGAGGATGGGGTGGGGTGGAGAGCGAAAGGGGCAGGGGAGGGATGGAGAGGGGAGCAGGAGGTGAGGAGCTGCAGGGCAGGCTGGAGGAAGGAGCGGAAGAGAAAGCCTGAAACGACCAAAATACTAAATCAAAATTAAATCAGAAGGCCAAGGTCGGCAACGGTAGCGTACGTATCGTTTCGCCAGCATACTTACGAAGAATGACGTGGGTGATAACCAGTGCAAATATAAAGACCGTCAGAAAAGACAGAGATAAAATAAACATATAAAAAAATCTGTAGTTTCTTTTCCCCACACAGTTGCCTACCCAGGGACAGTGGTGATCAAACCGTTCTGAAAAGAGAGGCAGAAAAACAAAAGCGAACATCAATTAATAAAATGTCTTTTTAGTGGAGGGAGCACCCTCCCCATATTCCAATGATACAATGAAACGATTTCATACCATATATTTCCAATTTAACCACTCAAACAAATGCTTAACATCAAGACGTTTTAAGAACATAATTATTCTTTCAACAGAACTTTTTTAGCTGTTTGAAAAAAGCAAGGAGTATGTATTCTTCTCAGATGGCAACGTGAAATAGGAGTACAAGTTCGCATTACAGTGGGAAAAATCAAGAACCCGAATGCTTTTAGAAACCTCTTTGTGTTCACTGAACAATTTTCCCTTAAGATGGTGCCAACACCATCTGGTGGTAAGTGCAGGGCTGCGCTGGGGCTGCACATGGTACTGGGTGACCTTGCATGGTAGGTGGCCATAGAGAGAGGGCACGAGGGGCCTGGGACAGGACAGAAGGACAGTCCTTTGTTCTACCATCCCATTTACAACTGTTTCACATATGTTAATCACCGAATCATATTAACACATTTGGCCTCAAAACATTCCTATGAGGAGATGGGTAAACTGAGCTGGGAGGCTGCTGCACGGGCCCTACAGCTCAGAAGCAGCTGAACCAGAACTTGGAGCCGGGTCTTTCAGTGCTGCTCCCGTCTTCCCAGCACCTGCTGCTTCTGGGACTTTGTAAGTGCAGAGTGCTGGGTATGGGCATTATCATATTATTACTCCGCAGTACCCTAAGTGAAAACCCAAGGCTCCTCACTTGGGAATTTCACATGCAGTATGTAATACATTCGTGATTTATTCTTCCCCTTGCAAGTGGTGGCAAAGTGCTTCTCTTTACTGTTCATCTGATCTATTCAGAAGGACCATTCAGAGTGTCTTTCTAACACACCCTGATCTATTCAGAAGGCCCATTCAGAGTGTCTTTCTAACACCCCCACTCACATCAGACTGCCTGCCATGTGGCTGGAGAGGAAAGGCTGGGCACATGACTTAGCTTTTTACTAGGGCTCTTTTCCAAGCTTCTGTCTACCCTTTTCATAATTTATTTATCTATATGTGCATAAAAAAACATACAGAGAAGGCTAAATGGGGTGTGAGTGTATCAATAAAACATTATAAAGTGAAGCAAGGTAATCTGTTTCATGACTTTCTGGTCACATATAATAAGTCACTCATGTCATGTTTTCTACTGAATGCCATCTTGTTTCTTAAAAAGGGCACAAGGACACCTTGGGGCCAGTGGCCTCAGAAGAACTGCAAGAGAATCACCTTTGTCTGCAAGTGGCATTAACAAGAAGCAGCCAGTCTGAGCAGAGGACACTGGCCTGGTGACAACCTGATGGCTTATAAGATGCTGACACTCGACAAAAGTAATTTCTATTGGTGTGCCCATGTGAGTCACATGTTGACAGGTGGCCAACCCCACACAGCTGGAAAGGCTAATCCCTGCACAAACAAGCTCACTGGGGTTGGGGGGAGGAAGGGGTGAATAGGGGGAGCACAGGGAATTTTAAAGCACTGAACATACTGCATATGCTACTGTGTGACAGATACGTGTCATTATGCAGGTGCAGGAGTATGTGGAGTCCAAAGCCACAGAATGCACAATGCCAAGAGTGAACCCTACTGTAAACTACAGACTTCGGTGATTGCAATATGTCAACACAGCTTCATCAGCTGTAACAAATGCATCCACTTCGGTGGGGGGTGTTGATCATGGGGGCGGTTGCACACAGAGGGGGTTGTATATGGGAACTCTGTGTACCTTCCTCTCAATTTTGCTGTGAACCTAAAACTGCTAAAAAAGAATAGCCTTTAAATATTAAAAACCAACCAACCAAACAAACAAAAAACACATCTCACTTCCCCAAGTACCTGATATACACAGTCTGTACTGTGAGAGGTCTACACAAAGTCCAAAAAGGACAAACAAAAAACACATCTCACTTCCCCAAGTACCTGATATACACAGTCTGTACTGTGAGAGGTCTACACAAAGCGCAAAAAGGAAAAAAAAACTCTGAATCAGCTGGATTTTTCTAAGATTTGAGGCTGTCATTTTGAGAAATGGCTTTTCTTCATTAGGTATGACTTGGAAGATGGGATTGAAGAGTGGCAGGTGGGGGCAAAAAGCGCACGCTGGGTTGGCACCTCTGATGCCAGCTCTGAAGGCCCGACTCCGGGTCCCACTCGGTGGATGCGGCCTAAGGGGCCAAGGGGTGGCAGCTGGGGGCGTCCATCACACCCCATTCACAGGGCTGAGGGTCCTGCAGCCACTGAGATCACTTCTGCGTGGCAGGTGGTTGCATTTTTGGCTCAGAAAGTTTAACAACAGCGAAGCTGTGATTCTGTGCTTTTGTGATGGTGGCAGAGTGACGACAGGAACGAAAGCGACAGATGATGGGGACGAGAGAGTGGCTCACGGTTTGGGGAGGCTTCTGGGGAGACCAGCGACGTCCCAGGGGGGTGTGGACGACTGGCCCCGAGCTGCAAGCAGCTCCTACTTGGATACTTGTCTCACTGGAAACTCTTTCTTGCAGACAGATCCCACTGAAAGTGTCTGCCCACCGAGGCGTCCCTTCACGTGTGTGTCTCACACGCTCGGTTGTGACAGCTGAATCGCGGTGGGCTGCACGCAAGAGGCGGCAGCACCGAGGAGTCTCAGGGGTGTCACGGCCTTCGGCTCTGCTGGCCCTGCCAGGGCTGCGCCCTGGGCTCGCTGAACCTCTCCTCTCCGCCATGGGCGTGCTCTCCCTCTCTCTCCCTCCCGCTGGTAATCTCCTTTTACCCCAACTTTCAAAAGCCAAGTACATGCTGATGATGCCAAGACTGCCATCTGCGACCCCAGCCACAGGCTCCTGCTGAACTGCCTGCCTGGACCCGGGAGAGGACGTCCCCGTCCAGCCAGCTGCCCAGCCCAGAACCACAGGCGGTTCCCGACCCCGTCCTTTCCCTCCCCAACGTCCAGTAGAGCTCAAGTCCCCTCAGCTCTATGCTGTCTTATCTGAAATCATCTTACTTATTCGTTACTTGCTTTTGTCTGCCAACCTTACTCTAATAAATATTTGCCCAGTGACTGAATAAACCCCACACACTACCTAAAGGACATCCACGTGAGTGGTTGCCAACGTCACATGGCTAATGAGCAGCAAAGCTGGGATGGGGGCCCAGCTCCATCTGTCCCCAGAACCTGAGATCTTGACCCTGAAATGCCACGCTGCCTTTACCAAGTATTTCCCAGGTACCCAGCACCATATCAGGGACTAGGAATACCACAAAGGAACAGCAGTAACAGACACTCCATGGCACAGAGGTCCTTATCTCATTCAGTGAAGAGACTGTTTTCAGGCTCCAAAATATTCCTCAGATCCAAAGAATGAACTTCTTTTTTTTTTTTTTTCCTTTTTGTCTTTTTTCGTGACCGGCAACGGGATCGCAACCCTCGGTGTCGCGCCCACACCGCACTCAACCAGTGAGCGGACTGGTCTCTATATGGGATCCGAACCCTCGGCGGGAGCGCCGCCCTCTACCAAGTGCACCACGGGGCCGGCCCCCAAAGAAAGAACTTCTAAGAAACCTAATTTAGCGCCTAAATCAGTCTGTTCCATTTTCTTGGTCGGCAGCACACAACGTTCATGGTCACGACAAGGAGGGGCCAGAAGCCCCCTGCAGTGTCCTGCCCGGTGCGGGGAGAGGAGCCTCTTCTGCTCCGAATGCCACAGGAGTGGTGGGAAGTGAAGGGGCTGCAGGGACAGTTTTGAACTGGGAAACTTGTGCTACTCAGTTTCCAGGGTGGAAGGATGGGCAAAAATTGGGCACAAGCTGAGCTGGGGAGAGAGTAAGTGGCAGCGGCTGACACAGGCCGTGGCTCCCAGGGACCCAAGCGAAGCCGTAACTGGCCGGGAGGGTGAACGTCTGGAAGAGGAACGGGAAGCCCGACCGCTGGCAGAGCTGGCTGCAGCAGCCACACTGTCCGAGAAGTTCCAAACAGCTAGTGTCGGAGTTCAGCATGTCTGCTTTCACTGTGGAAAAGCTGAATGCGTGCCCTGTGTAGTGGGGGGACAGGGGTGGGGTGTGTGGGATAGGAGGTTCTTCAGAAGAACACTTGGGGGTTGTCGCCACATCCTTTGACCCTGAAGTCTGGATCAGAAGGTAGTGGTGTCTATACGGCAACATCTCTGGAGGAGTCCTTTAAAAAGATGAGGAGCTGTTTCCTAGTCAGGGCTGTTGAATGAAACATTGAAGGGCTGGTAAACCTCAGAGATTCTCTAAAATAATGAGACCTGAGTTAGCTAGCTGAGGCGCCCTGACCACACCTCTGGCAGCATTGCGCTGCCCTGCAATGATCTGTGAATGTGTTTTCCTCTTTCCCCCAGGTGATGCCTTGAGCTGAGGAATCATTCCTCGCCCTCCTCCTAGTCTTGGTACTTATCTAAGTCCCTGGCATGTGGCAGCAGATGCTCAGTAAATATGCATTAAGTAAAGAAAGAAATGTCTTTAATTTCCTTCAGAAGGTTTATGAGTGCTCACTGCTCCTGGTCATCAGGTGGAGGCGCTGGAAAATTCTGGGAAAGAGAAGACTTGAGGCATGCCAACGACAGGAAAAAGCAGGGGTCTGTTACATTCAAATATGTTCAGAATAGGCCAAGGGCTGGAGATGCTGACAAGAGGCTAAAAGAACTGACCGACAGTTGCTAGTGTGAGTCAGCACAGGGAGAGGTGGCTTTATTCAAAGCTCCACGGGATGTCATCAGAGACCCAGAGGCTACAGTGAAATGCCAGTCACCTGCCCTCAGATCCTAAGAGGGGAAAGAAGTTTCCATTAAAATGGCCAGTGGGAACCTAGTTAAGAAAAAGGGGTTATAGTCCTATTTTGCTAACCTAAAACTTTAAATAATAATGAAAAATATTACTAATGAGTCAAGGAAGCTACCGGTCACTGACTACCTGTTATGAGCATTATTTCAGTTGACTTGACAACAGCCCTGGG